AGCGGTTTTGTTTTAGTGAGCTGGTATTTTTTGGTAGTTTTACATTGTATTTCACCATTTGTAATCATGGTGCAGTATTGTGTTTGTCCTCACGGGAAAAGGACCGGAGCTAGCGTTCGTTCCTGGGTGCGTTGTGCATCCACCCCCCTGCAGCACATACTCTCCACAGCTTTATCAGGAAACCGTATTACATCTCTCTCCCCCCCCCCTCTTCGCTGCTCTCTCTCTCTCCCCTCCGGTACACGGCACCGTAAGACGTAGTGTGGAGTTGCATTAGGTAACGCTGTGGTGGCTGTACTGCTCCACAGCTTAGCCAATCACTTCGCTCTATTCCCAAGAGCCTATCATAGCGTGCCGTCAAAACCTCAAGACTCAACGCAACCCTCCNCATATTACATAACAAAGGGTAAACATCTCCGCTCTCTGACCGCGGGTATAGTTAGTAGTTGCGTTGAGTTGAGCGGTTGTGTTTTAGTGAGCTGGTATTTTTCGCTAGTTTTACATTGTATTTCACCATTTGTAATCATGGTGCAGTATTGTGTTCGTGCAGGTTGCACAAATACCAGCCTGTCAGGACATCGAGTCCACAGTAAAAAGGCCGGAGCTAGCGTTCGTTCCTGGGTGCGTTGTGCATCCACCTCCCTGCAGCACAGAATCCGTATTACTTCTCTCCTCCCCCACCCTTCGCTGCTCTCTCTCTCTCTCCCCTCCGGTACACGGCACCGTAAGACGTAGTGTGGAGTTGCATTAGGTAACGCTGTGGTGGCTGTACTGCTCCACAGCTTAGCCAATCACTTCGCTCTATTCCCAAGAGCCTATCATAGCGTGCCGTCAAAACCTCAAGACTCAACGCAACCCTCCACCACCCCTTTTCACCTCCCGTCCCTCCGGGGTCAAGCTAAAACACTCCTCCTCAGACCGACCCAACTATCCATTCACCACCACCAGTGTCTAGACCCCGGGGGGTTTTCATCGGATCGGTTCTACCCTCCCGAATGATACTTCCTGCACAACGGGGCCTAATCGCCAAAACTACTGTCACATTAATTTGTGTATCTGCGCATTAAATGTATTGTATGTATTATTACATCAAAACCGTCTGTCCTGATTGAATTAATGATAGAGGACCAGAAAATAGTACTAAATTAAATAACTTCACAAACTTCTACAGTATATTTTTGTCAAAATGTTGGTTCATTTTGGATTTTCTATTTTTGTTTTGTTTTCTCAAAGTTTCCAAATGGCCTTTTTGTGAGAACTCTGAAAATAAAACACTGAACGCAATGTATCTTGAATGTGGACGTCACAATTATGAATGGCACCAAGGAAATGCATCACCAAGAAATCCTTATAAACAAAAAGTGACATTTACCTGTATGAATGAGTTTCAAACGAAAGGTCACATCATATTCATAGTTCGCTCCATCACCTCTGTGACAGAATGAAGGCCGAGGCCAGTTCAGGACACCTACGTCTCATGTCCCCCCCTTTTACCTTGACCCACAATTCCAGTCATATTATTTACCAAGCCTTTTTACCTCACACTACCTCAAATTTGAAGTCCTTTTTCAATCCCTTGCAATCTTGAGTCTGGTGAAGACCTTTCTGTTTCACTTGGGCTCAGTTGTGATGGAGGGACATTTCATCTTCAGCTCAGCGTGAACACAGTTCACCTCTATCTTGGTTCTGCTGCAGATATGAGAAAACACCGTTGGTAGCCTTCTCTCTTCAGGGGATGATGTTATGAGCCCCTCATGGTGCATTGTTGCCATAGAGGAAATTATGAATACATCCGATGACGTCCTTGATACCTCACTTTTATTTCCGTGTTGGAAACAGAACTGAACCAAACATCAACATAAAAACACCAAGAGTCCAAAATAGTAATTTTTGTGTGGTATTCTGTGTTACTGTAATTTCCAAAATGGCTAAAACCATCTGTTACTTGCCAGCCCTAACCCTAACTCTTACCCTAGCTAACACTGGCAATCTTTACTTCCGGTAAGTGCACAACGCTAACCCTACCCTGTTGATATCCATATGTACATATTATCACAAAATGTTAGTGTCAACATATATAAACATCTTAAGTAGGTTCATGCTTTTATTTTTAACTAGAAGCTAACAGTGTTTGCAACTAAAATATATTGTTCTTTGATCATAATACAGAAATCCCACTTGTGAATTATAATGCATTTCAAACTTTTGACAGTGAAATTGGGTCAGTTGGAAGCGGTTATAGCACAAAAATCTGAGGGATCCATGGAATCCATCTTTCCGGTTGACCAGTATTGTGGAAATTCCAATAGTTGCCAGTTTATTTATGTAGAAATTGCTAAAATTATTGCAATACCATCTGCATCAATCAATTAAAAAAAAAAAATATGTTATAGGTCATGTGATTATCCATTCCATGATGATATGGGTTCTTAACCCATGTTACAATGTTCCACCAAGTTTCCTGAAATGGGCCTAGTAGTTATTCTGTAACACTGCTGATAAATGAACAAACCAAACTAAAAGCTTTTTTCTCCTTGGCAAAAGTAAAAAACGTGACTTTATAACGTATACTTTAGGTTTATTAGGGATATGAAGCAATACAGGTTTGCACAATCAACCTTCTCAGAATGATGTTTACTGTTGAACATCTTGTTCCTTTTATTTCTATTGATGATGACTATTCAGCTAGAAAATACTGAGCTCCGGAGTACAGTTCAGTTCTCCACATGCTTCAACAAGGAGGCTGCACTCCTTTGTTTCCAGATGAAGTATTAACTAGCTGTTAAATTGGCTTTGCTTTGTGATGCCGATCGCAAATCTCTTCGACAATACAGAAGTTAGACATTATTCTTCAGAACACACACGGAGCAGCTGTTCTCATTTCACACACACTGAAAGTGAACTAAACATGTTTTTTATGTGCAAATGTATAGTGCACTGACAGACTGAGCAGTCAGTAATACTCAAGGATTACAACATTTGCACAAAATCCTAAAGACTTGTTTGCCTGTTTTTGCGAGAAAGTTTTCAAAAATATAGCAGATAAAAACATATTTAAGCAATAACCCTGTGTTTATGGCTGTTTTGTGTCAATGGCCTGTACTATATGTGTTGAAGTAGAGAAGCTGAATTAGGAAAAACCCAACATAATGTTCAGGTCAATGCCACAGGAAGATGTCTGTAATGTTTCCCGGCATTGCATCGGCTTTTCTGTTTGTTTGTTTTTTTCTCAAGGTCCCTCAGAGCGGTGACCCAGTGCAGACTAGATTAGGACAGCTGAGAGCCCATTAAAAGTAATGACTGACTGGAAACATTCAATCAGAAAGGTGAAGCGTTGGGAAATTGTTGACGATGGATCGGAAAATTATTAGAAATGTCGCAAATGGAGATCCAAAAGAAAAGGATGGATGATTGAGGTTACATTGTCCGGATGTTTCTCCAGTATTCATAATTTTTTGTGATCTATAGCCAAATATTTCATTTAAGACATTTATTCATCCTTAGTTCATAAAGAATGTTGGTCTGGATTATGAAATTCCATCTCCATCATTGCAAAGCGTTTGACCAATTCCAATCCTGAAAAAGTAAACCTCTGCATTTTGTTTTAACTCTCTCATATTTTGAAGGGATAAAATAGAATTAAAAAAATGTTTATACCACCGTTATCATTCTATTATTTAACTTTCCAAAATAAATGTAATTTGAAAATGTCCCAAAACCTAAAAACTATTCATTTAAAAATGTAAAATCGGCCACGCAGCTCTATAGATATGCTGTCCTATAAAACACAGATGACAGGTGACATAATGTAATTGCTGCCTTTACTGAAAACGTGACATGCCAAGAAACAGCAACACCTTTAAATGAGGCTAAATCCTTGTTTGCCTGGATTTTTAATAGAGCTCAAATGTCACACGTGTTCTCCGCACGTTGCACCATGAGGGCAACAGATCACATGGCTGTGTCATTTTGAAGAGTCTCATCAGAAACATATTTTTTCCCTCTGGATTTTTTATATAATACCACCTTGGCTTAAGTTCGCAAGATGTGGTCTGCCTACAGAATGTGAGGAAAGAAGGCCTCATTTTTTGTAATGGAATTACAAATTATTTTCATTTAGGAAAATCAAATCTCTGCCATTTATTTTATAAAAAAATACATATTTTGCGTTCAAATATCATAACATGTGATATGGTAGTTTTGTTTTGGAAATACATTTTTTTTATGATCAACTTTGATAAAACCTAATTTTCCCAATTAAAAAAAATGAATTGGAGTTGTTCCATAGCCTTCCAATATTTGTGAAGTGTTACTGTTTGGTCTCAGAGGGAGTGAGTCTGGCAGTGTGCATGGAAGAGCCTCAGGTTGCTCATCTGTCTGATAGTCCTCCGGGGAGTGGGGGGGGCATCCTGCGGCGGTCTGTGCCAGATGCTCACTGTGGCTGTTAAACAATAACCACTAGAGTATGTTCTCCCATCAGCAACACTGTGATCCGTAACTACTCCCAGGAGGCTGTTTAGACAGAGGTCAGCCGAGCCTACATTATGCAAACTCTCCTGAGATTAAATGTGATAATCTGTGATGTGTTTTTCATTACTGGTGTTCATTGCTCTGCTGCTTTTAACTACATCATTTTATGTTCAAACATCATCAGGAGTTTTTATTATTTTATTTTGATGTTCTGTTGAAGTTTGCACTCCATTTGGTCTGTTTGGTTATGTAAGAAGATGTGCATACTCACGGGACCAAATACTATGGGCTCAGAACAGTCTCATAATACACACATGCACACAGAAGGATTCACACTTGTATTTCATGATCCGCAAAAGGATTCACACTTGTATTTCCGGATCCACACTTGTGTTTTTCAATGCACACACAAATGTGTTCCGTTTCATATACATGTAAATAAAATCCAAATACAGAAAAAAGTTTTACATAATGTATTTTTGATCCTCACATATTTGTTTTCCGTTTAAAACCGCTGCACATACAAACACAAACCGCTTTCTGCGCATGGATCGCTGTGCATTCGTGTGTGGTTTTTTGAGACTCCCCTGACGGTCACCCGATTCGTACTTG